CACCACATTAATGAGTGCTGTTCGACTTTTATTTTTTCTCCCCTTCTGGTGAATCCGAGCAGCGTTAAGTCATCTCAGCAAAGCATGAAAACAAGGCACGCTCGTTCAGAGTAGGTTACCTGATAAATTGTGAAAGAAAGAGGGCGAGGAATTAAAGCCATCTGCAACTGTTTGAAACTTGGAAGTGTGTGTTTGTCTGTGTGTGTGTTGTGTTGGGGTGTGTGTGTGTGTGTGTGTGTGTGAGTGTGTGCATGTGTGAGTTTTCTTTCTTTCTGTTGTCCCTCATGGGGCCTCTCAGCAACCAGCCAGCCAGGCTGCGAGACAAGACAGAAGAGTGTCTGATTCACTAAACAGGCTAAAGGCTCCAGTAGACTCACTTTCAAATCAAATTTAGGTTTTAAGACTCTTTAAGAAGGCGCTGGGTGCAAGTGCAAGTGTGCTGGATTGTCTGGCCCTTGGTGCCATAACGTGAAGGAGATGATGCCGGAAACATGCCGGGAGAAATCTTAATCGGAGGGACAGAAATGCAAACACATGCGCTGGCAGCGCTACGAGTTGCAGCTTGGGGAAGAGGACGTATGTTGATATGCAACAATATGTTTGTTCCCTAAACCAAACAAGGAGACAGAATGGAGGGATTTCTCTCTTCTAGCCACAAAATTGGCCAATATGGCTTATATATTTGATATTTATATCAGTTTTCAAAAATAAGAGCTCATAACGTTGAACCTTTTATTATCTTCTAGTCCTTTTTAATAAATCAGGCTGCAACAAGTTATATCACAGATTCAAGTATCAGTCTCAGACACCTGCGGCTATTCTCTATACTCTCAAGATGATTATTCACAGGAGGCAGTAAGGCAGCGAAGGCACCTTCCTCCCTATCTTTGCACTTTTGTGAAGCAGCGAGCTAACACTGATTAGATGCATGTACAGGAAAAACAACTAATTACTCGTGTCTGAGTAATTAGCTTTTTGTTACTCAGCAATTTACCAAGTTGCACAGTCTTTGCTGCTGTTTACTGCGTGTCGGCACAGCTGCAGCCTGCTAAGTGCTTAAAACCTGGCGAACGCTAATCAATGTTTTGACAGCCCGACATTTCATCTAACTGTTCGTGTTGGTTTGAGGGGCGCTGTGAAACACTTTCTGCCTGTTCACTTGACGTGGATTCTTGTAGTCTGGTGTCTCGCCATCAGCCCGAACCCACCCACTCGTGTCCCGGGCAGAAGTCAGTCTTTGTTTCTGTCTCTGTCTCTCTCTCACTCTCGTTCTCTCTCTTTCTGTCTCACTTGTGGTTCAACTTGGCAGTACTTTTCATCTCCTTTGTTTTTGAATGTGCCTATTTTGGTCTTTTTAATAAGGAAAAACTTGTGTTGCCTAAGAGAATTTTAAAGTCTAATTTTCAGAATAATGGCTTAGAGGGAGTTACAACTTGAAATGTTCAAGTTTGAGCCGAGGTTGTGCCCTTGTGTCAGACACTTAACCACTTCCTAAACGTTGTCGTAATTCTACCCATAAGTCTGAAGTTAAGCTCTCCTCAACCTGGTAAACGCAGTGTAACTAATAAAGTGAAAATGAAGCAACCCAACAGATGTAATGACATCAGTTTGGTGAAGAGAGCCAAAAGTGGACCAACATGAGGCACAGGGATAAGAAAACCTCAGCCCCCACACGCCTGTCTCCCCTGTCCTTCAAGCCGCAAACCCTCGCACTGTGGTTCGGTTTGTGGGTGAAACATGGTTGGTTTAAACTCCTTAGGTGGCTGAGAAGTCAGGAGTGTCATTGTGAATAAAGCTCAGTCCTAGCCTTTTAACCTAAAGTAGCAGAAAACAGCATTGTTTGGCAATCAACCGGGAACTATAGCTGCGCTGGGCCGCTTTCAGCTGTGTGGAACACGGCGGTGCTGTTTAGGAACGTGTGAACGCAGCGAACCCCTTCCTTGAATGAATAAACAATTTGGAAAAGGTGTATTCCACTTCTCACAAGCCTTCCGACAAGTTCTCCGTATTAAATCAGTGTAATGTGTGTCTTTTGTCAGTTGTTGTATTATAGGATATCTGTTAAAGTGGTGTGTGTAGGCAAAACATCAACTTAACTCCCGTTTCTGAAGAGCCGTCGCTTCAACCTTGAGCTCTCCCAACATCGGGGAGGCGCAGTCTTCTAAGTGCTTTTTTTTTTTCTTTTTTTCTGAGACAAGAGAGTGAAACAGCGTGCTGAGAGGGAGAGAGAGTGAAGAGAGAAAGTTACTGGCCCGCCCCTGTCACCGTCTCATGCATGTTTGATTTGATGTTCTTTGAGAAACGAGTGCAGGGGACGTCACAATGGCCATGTCCCGTTCCCATCCGTTGAGAGGCTGGGGGCCCTTGAATCATAAATGACACCCGGCCTCACCAGGAACAATATGAGAGTCGAAGCCCGCACAGGAGGAACAAAATGTTCCCTCTATCCATCCATCCATTCGCCCACCGCTGCCGCCTGCACTCAAGACTTCTCACCATCGCAAGCAATTACCCTCACTTTTTATTTATTTATTTCTTTTTTACTGCTGATGAAATCCTCACAGAGCCTGTCTCAGCTGTGTGTCTGTGTCTGTGACGTGAGCGAGAAAGAGAAAAGGGGGTAGCGATAGTGAGGGAAAAAAAAGATAGTATGTGTCTGAGTGAGTGGCGTTGGCGTGTGTCTGTTTGGCTTGTAAATCCTGTTTAAGCTAAACAAACTCATTGTCCTCATCCTCCAACTGCGTGCTCTGTGTGTGTGTGTGTGTGTGTGTGTGTGCTCCCCCCCCCCCCCCTTTTCCNNTTTTCTCCTCGTCTCTCTCCCTCTCCTTTTGAGTTGTAAGTACAGTCACTAATTAGTCCCCTCTCCCTCTTCATGCTGGGTCAGTGGGTTTACGGTTTCAGCACTGATCTGCCGTGTTTGCCTTGTCTCTCCTGATACCGGTGCATGCCTGCAAGCCAGCACAGACTGCAGCCTCCTCCAAGAGGTCTTCACACCTTACACAGTGTCCCACATGGGTTCATTTGCTAGACAGCCACTCAGGACTGTGCTCGGGCTCGCTCTCGTGCAAGCTTGCCCGGCGCTTGAGTTCATGCCAGGTATTAAGACTAACCAGTGCAGCAAAGAGCCGTGCCTGCTGGGTTGAGTCAATAAGTTAAACCTGTCATGTTTTCAAACAGCAAATGCGTTTTGAAGAGGATTCCAGATTATGAGAATTCATTTTTACATACACTTTAGCTACCCTCTTCTCAGCATGATGCAAATCTTTCTAGCTTATAGCCTATAATGAATCGTTTTCTAAAGATAATACGCCACAAGCTGTGTTTATAATATCATTTGTGCTATAAACAGTCTCTTGTCTAGTCGGCACTGTTGTTTCTCAGAGTGCACGGTGATGTTGATTTTCTGGTGGAGGTTGCGTGGGAGATGGAGAGTGATGGCAGAGATTCTCTGAAGGCGGTCGAATTGTCTCCAACATGGCCTCCAGGGATGCATACTTCCTTGTTTTCCGACAAAGTAAATTAACCAGGATTTACTAATGCAAAGGGACAGCATTTATTCTTCGCCTGCGATGTCAGTTATGAGGGGGAGACGCCATCGTGCAATATTTGCTCTCACACAACACTAATTCTTACACATGCACAGAGTGCAAAGGCTGAAATGTGCTGGATATCGAGCAGTGTCTTTTGTTTTTCTCTGCAGAGCTGCATATTAACATGCAAAGAAGTGTTTTTGCAGACAAGGGGACGGCTGCACACTAGCTGTTGATTTTTCACTTGCGCTTTTGGTCTGTTAATGAAGCCAGTTGCGGTTGTTATGGAGAGCCTCTCAAACCATATTGGCATGTAATCTTGAGCTCCACTACCCTACCAAGACTGTTTTCTTACTGCTTTTTTCGACATTGCTCAGTGACAGAAAAAGTCTATTACTGTTGTGTGCAGTGTGTTTGCCCGCTTGGTGCCCTCCCCTTGGTTTTGACACTGGCAGTTGAGCCAGGCGCTTTCCCAGGGTTCTAAGGACTGACATCCCTTTCATTTTCCCGCCTGGGCGGCTCAGATAAAGGGGCATATTTTAAACCTCTGTGTGGATACAGCTACTGTAAAGAGAGACGGGCTGGTGGGCCGGGGCTGAGCTGCAGCATTAACTTCACAGAGTGAGAGAGAGAGGGAGAGAGAGAGAGAGAGGGAGAGAGGGAGAGGGAGAAGGTGGGACTGTGGCGAGGAGAGAAACAAATAAAGAAGTCCACTTTATTAAACAGTGATCTCAGCAATTTATAATATATGGTTGAAAGTACTATAACTGGCTGCAGACCTGACTTTGTGAATATCACAAACATTATCTGCAATCGCACTGCAGATAACCCATCTCCCTCGTTTATCCCAGGTCTATTACGGGAGCAATGTGTTTCACTACTTTTTTTTTCTAATCTTCCTGTTACAAGTACGTCCTCCCAGCAAGCCAAAGCCACGGTGGAAGCCGTCATTTATCATATCAGTAATGAGAGCGGGCTAATCGTGTGTATTCCGGAGACAGCAATGATACACTGCTTGGTGCTTGCCAGGGATCAGCCTCTAAACAATGTTTATCATTGTCTCCCAGGGCTCTTTAATTATCTGGCAAACATTATTGACAAAACAACAAGGGTCCCTGTGTTTTATGATTTTAAAGGATGCTGGGTTACTATTCACAAATATGTGTGCGAGAAACAATAGAAGCAAAGAGAGTTCTGATTTGAAATACTAAAGATTACATTTAACAAATAAAGACATATCGCATACATTTTTGAAAGTAATGGCAATAAACACATTTTTTACTTGAACTTAAATATG